CTAAAACTTGTAGTTTTATTTTTGACTTGAATACAACTCATTGTTTAAACTGTTATGATACATTTAAACTCTTACACGGTATAAGAAAAATTCTAGGTTAGTTAATAAAAAAAGTTAAAGACCGACTAAATCAAGAACATGCCTCAAGAATTAGAAAAATCTATCTTATTTTAAGCTGAACATAATGATCAGCAGTGTGGACTTGCCAGATAACCCACAATAATATGTATTACTATACAATTGCAGTGTAATTATTATTGAAACAATGGTACGTAGTAAACATATGACTACATCATTTTGTCCAGAACTAAAAAATGATTGGATATGAACATGGACAGTCCTGTTCCAGATTGTCCAGGTCCTGTATCCATGTCTATAATATTTCTACATAATAGCATATGGCCAAAATTATGAGATCAACTACTTTCAAATGTGACCAAAATTACTCAAATAATAACGGTGGCCAACTTTTAATATCAGATCATATGCAAATTACCATAACCTACTTCGAGAAGCTCTTTATATTCAAAATCAAATATAGTTACTATATACTATTAGGACTTTGAAAAAGTACTGAACTGGTATTGAACTGGTATCAAAATGGTACTGATCTATAGTAAATTTAATATATAGGTTGTGACCTACTCCTATGTTTTTATAGTAAATTTAAGTATTGAAGTGGTATCAAAGTAGTATCGTTAGGAGCCCTATATACTATACAATTTTAGAAGCTTTAAAACATTATATAGAGTAATCACCTATCAACTAGCATAACCTATCTCGAAGGGCATCTTAGTTTTAAAATCAATCGCAATTACCAAATTGATATACTGTATATTGCATCATATACAATCTGATGATAGAAATCGACCAGGCCACTGTTCTGATATATGTTGGTTCAAGTGTGACCTGATGACAAAAATTAGCCACCATCGTCATGTGGCCTGACAACAAAAATTAGCTACCATCATTATGTGATCAAAATTATAATATAGATCACATTATAACCTAAGCTAAGTGGGAACAATATAATTATGTTGTTCCCACTCTTATTGTTAATTCAACTGATATTTTATTTTGAAAACTTCATAAATAATGGTTTACAGCATAATAACAAGAATTTTTTTATTTTCTGATACTTTAAAACTTTTTATCACATTTACGTGTTGATAAAAACGGTATGTAAACATATCTGAAAAGAAAAGGTGATATGTATCTTCGAAAAAAGTTTAGGTATAATAAATTTTTTAAAAAAACTGAAAATATATAACGAAACTTGAATTTTTAGCATAATTAAAATCAACTATTTAAAATATAATAATAACTATTGCAAAAGAAATTATAAAATATAGTTATTTATAAAAACTTCCAATCATCAATTAACTTACCAATATACTACATACTACTGTATTAGGTTTGCATTGTGATGTTTTTTTGATAATAATATGCCATGGTTAAATAAGTTTAAAATAAGAAAGACTTTGGTTTCAAGTGTTTTTATGATACAGATCATTTAGGTATTTTATTGTTCACTGGGTAGAAAATGAATAGATGTTAATAGTATCAAATGCTTGAATGAATTTGTTAAAATGTAATTTGAGTAAAAATTTTCATATATATAATATAATTCTTAATTGTTATATTGAAGGTTATAGACTGAGATATCGGACAACAATTTCTCGCTTAAAGTTAGAGATGCGTAACCTTTAATTAATATATTAATGAGTTGAAGACATTTTCTTTGCAAAGAATATACATTGAACCTCTTTTTCGTTAGACTCAGAATGATGATTCTTAATTGAAAAAAATTTTTTTTTTTTGATATTTATAAGGTTTTTAAAAAATACATATCATACACGCATATGTTAAAGCGAACAAGAATAAATTATCAACGCACGATTATCATTGGGGGACCGACTTTTCTCACTACATTCCTGCGCTTTAAAATATAAAATTTTTGTGAAATCGATGATGATGAATTCTATACAAATAAAAATCTTGATAGGTTCATATCAGTAATTTCCACCCAAATTAATTATTACATGACTTTTTACAATAAATAAAGTAGGTATATAATGTAAAATGTTTATCAATTTGAATCAAGAAAAAAATAATAAAATAAAAAATAAAAATAAAGATAAAATAAAATAAAAAGATGACAATTATCCTCTTTTTGTTTTAAAGGCATTTGGTGCCACACCGACCATATTCTTTCGTCCTTCCCCACTACCATGCATGGAACCAGTTACGAGCGCTTCTACGACCACCCAGATAGACGTTATGAATCCCAGTGTGAATACGACCAACATGAAAAGAAAGGGCACGAAATCATCAAACACTTTTGAAACTTGGGCGTTAGGTTGATTTAAGGCCCTACCGACGAGATCCGATATGACGAACGCAACCACGAATAAGCAGTAAACGGTCATTATGATGCTTTCCCTAACGCCGCTGGTTCCGATTCGCCACCATTTTGCGCCATAGTTGACTTCGTGAAATTTGGAGACATCGACACGCTTCTTTTCATCGAAGAATAATGCAAAGAACATCAACGGAGAATAATATATGACCGTGAATGAAGGGTCAAATCCTTTTTTCTTAAGATCTCTGTATGTCCATCCCGTTACGAATACGATGTATAGAATGAAAAAGATCATTGGTAAAATCACCAATCCAATTAGATTGGACGTGTAATTCTTTCCATCGGCCGTTGATGAAGATCCTCCACTCAGTTTATAACATGCATATACAATATTGAATATTACTAGTTGGGAAAACCACGTGACTCGTGCCATTATTTGAGTGCGAGTTAGAACCCGGCCAAACGGTGGGGAAAGAAAAGCGTAATGAGTTGAATACGATAGCCCACTTCCCCCTCTATCAGAGACAAGGGTCAACGGTAAGAGATCCGAAGACTCACGGTGATGATGATACGTCTCGTCCCTTGAACGACGTTGCTCTCTTTCTCGTTCCCTGAATGATTGTTTCTCTGGCGTTTTGACGTTCTCTTTTGGCACGTATCCTATGCGTGAGAAAAGAAAGAAAAATAATTAAATAAATGAATAATCGTCTTATGAAGCCTGATGAATTTTCTCTGCGAGGTCAAAATTGGAATTCTAATTCAGAGATTCTGAATTCGAGAATTCTACTAGAAATATTCAAAGCGCATTAATTGCCATAAATATTAAACAAACCTTTTGGTACTTGTAATTGTTCCGGACTTTTTCGATGTATTCCTTTTTCTACATTCTCCCGTGTCAAATCATGTCGAGGCTCATTCAACATGGAAGGCGACAGACTGCGCCCTTCTACTCTTGCAGGGGTTTCTGGGACGTCCCTTGTACTACGAGTTTCATAAGTTGGCGTAGGACTCGCGACCAATACAGGACCTGACGGAATATCTATTCTGGTTGTTGGAGTTTCCTCTTCTTCGCTGGTACTGTCTTCTGCAAACAAGTCTTCGTCAACACTCGGTCTGGTCTGTACTGATTCCGCGGCCATTGATAGTTCCGATGGTTGCCGTTCATGGTGAGGAAGCGGATTCGTGTACGAACGTTGCGGGGGCATCACAGGAAGCCTATGAGATTGAACTAGTTGTGGTATAGGCCCTGCAGTAGTCTCGATGCGTCTCGGAGCATCAGAATCACTGTCAGAGGAAGACGCGTCAAGTTGGTAAATGGGAACGGTCTGCAAGGATTCGCTTGGAGCCTGTGAATCGTCCACTGGCTCCATGTCTGCGAGTTTTCAATAAAAGACAAGTATTAGTGTGACACCTAGAGGACGATTACGAGGTTTTTAGCTAAAACAAATATAGATATATTTCAGAATTAAGAGAAACGGCTAGAACGAATTTTTTTTTCCGAAAAATTTCTGTATCGTGATTTCGAATAACGTTGCACAATTTCGTAATAGGCAGTCCTCGCCATATCAAAGCCGCCTGATATATATATGTAATCAATCTAATGAATAATTTAAAGTCCCTAATTCCATAGTAACTCGAATCAAGCTGCATTCGATGTACGCATTTGGAGATATACCGATCGATCAGCGGCTTTCGCTGACACAAGCATAGCCTTGGTCTTTTTTATACGGCAATAAGCCCTTTGAAACCAAAGCCAAGACCGCGCCCTGATTTTAACGTTCAAATCACAATTTCGCGTGCATGGCGGGGAAAAACTTGAAAAATCTTGAAAGATTCCAATGGATTCTGTAATATTGGGAAATATTGGGAAACTGCATATTTGCGATCGCATGCATGAACAAGTTCGGTGTCTCAAAGATCATTAGACGAAAATTTTGTATATATAAAGAGCTATGGCAAACCTTTTTGTTTAGCAAAGAGGAATTCTTTTATTATCATTATTATTATATGTAAATTGATAATTGTAAGAGCAGCCACAGTAGTGGCACAGTAATGGCAAAGTTATGTGTATCTAAGCATAGGTTTTTGAAAAAACTGGAATGGGTCATTGCTTGGGAGGCATTTGAGGACTACCTGGCCACAGCTCAAAAAAAAAAAAAAAATTCAACGTGTTTGTGAAAAACCCATATTCGCACAAATGGATAAAAATTTCTTAAGTTGTATAGTCCCATCTAGCAAAATACCTTCCTTCCGGCTATCATCCCGATGCATTTCCTTTCAAGTCAAACATTATATTCATTCAGATTCAACTTAAACTTGTTCAGTCATAGAACAAACCTTTCTTAAAGCGGAAAATTTTCCGTTATACCTGATCCGTCGCAGTTTTCCTTCCAACCTTTGGACGACATACTTTGGGTTTTTTTCGTGGTGCGCCCTTTGATGTCCCGGATACATTATCGGTAATTGAATTTTCATCGTCAGCTCTCTTGGGACTTATGACTGCCGACGGGAGACCATCAGAGATTTTTGAGCAGTGGACGTCGTTCCCCGCAAGTTCCGCCTGACCCGTTAAACAAGTGTTAGTTGAGGATTCCCGATTTGATTGTTGTTCGGACGCATCTTGTTGAATTTTTAGTGATTCTTCGTTTTTGTTTGTTTGGTGATGCGTGGCGATGAGATCTGTGATTTTGGGATGTAGCGTAAGATCAAAGAAGGATGGTTTTGACAGAAGAGCATGTGTCTTCGGCAACGTGTGATTCTCGTGGTTTTTTGTATTGAAATATTGTTGATACCTAAAAAAAAGGGGGGAGGGGGTTATGTGAATTCTTGAAACAACTTGTAAAATCGGTAAATCCTTACAGAGATTCGAATGCGTCGTTGCATTTTCTTCTCGTTTCTGGTTCTTCGGGGAACTCGCCAAAGTAATACTCATAGCTGCAAGTATGACGCAATTCAAAGCACCATTAAATCTAGGTTGCTTATCGAGATCGATAAAAAACTTTTTTCTTACCAATGATCAAAGTCACTGTGTCCTGTTTTCAATCGACGTCTTTCCAACGCGTCACGAACCTTTGCTGTGAGAACGATCAAGGATGTCGGTGAAACTCACTAGTCATTTTCAATTTAGAAGTACGCATTTGCAAACGTACCGTCCATTAAAAATACGTGTCATGTACTAGAATGTCGACGGGTTTTTTTATTCAATATGTAGATTTGATGCACCAATAGGATTTTTACATCTGCATGGTGCGAATCAAGTTTACGCAATCTTCTCAAACATGACCTCCACGTCGAGTGAGGTCAACTCTGAAGATGCCGATCACTTGGTCCTCTCGAATGATCCATCACACCCCGCAAACCTTATACCCGAATTATGCAAGTTGTTCTATAACCTGGGTTGGGTCACTGGAACAGGGTAAGAGTCTACTGCTTGTATTTTATAAAGTATAACTGACTGACTTGACCTTTTCTTTTATTCTCGCATTAGAGGTGGAATTTCGATTCGCAAAGAGTAAGTCCCGAGTCACTCCTATTGTGGCATCCGTGATTCATATTTTAAAATTTTCATCCCCTTGAATATTCTAGTGACCTTGTTTACATCGCACCTTCCGGTAAGACATTTTCGATCGGCGAACCACTCGTATGCGCACGTGTCATTAACCGCATTCATGGAAACGTTGGATGGGCACAGGCGTTCAAAAAGAACGAATGAAGCCTCTTGACATATTTGTTCTTACCCTTGGTACGCGTAAGGTACTTCGAGCACCGAAAGTTTATAAACGTTCGTCCTGCACGCCATTGTTTTACAATGCCTACACGATGCGTAATGCCGGTGCTTGTATACACACGCACTCGCAGAACGCCGTAATGGCTACTTTGTTATATCCCGGTAAAATATTTGAGATCACTCATCAAGAGATGATCAAGGGAATTAGACTTGGTAGCGGAACACAAAATCTACGTTTTGATGACACCTTGGTGGTACCGATCGTGGAGAATACACCATTTGAAGAAGATCTAACGGATGAAATGGCGAAGGTATGAATAAAGAGAAATGTGATAACAGAGTTGTAAAGCAGAAGAATCAATCAGGCTCATTTTTAGGCCATTGAAGATTATCCGGATACCAACGCTGTTCTTGTTCGTCGTCACGGTGTTTATGTCTGGGGAGGTATTTGATTTGAATATTCTTTCGTACGACTTACTTAAATCACGATTGAAACTGAAGTATTACCATATTTATTTGTTCCATCTAGAAACATGGGAAAAAGCCAAGACAATGTCAGAATGTTATGATTATTTATTCGAAATTGCGGTCAAGATGAAAAGCTTCGGATTAGATCCCACAACGAAACCTGGTACATAAACCAATTACAAATTTAACCATGTCCCATAATCAAGAGTAAATTAGAACCTATAGAACCTATAGCGCCATTGATCAGCGTTACATGTAGTGTAATAAATATATTCTGAATGATTCAGTATAGAATACATGATTGTGGCATGAAAAAAAAATAATTGTTGAAGGGTTTTCTCCGATTCAAAATTTAAACATTTGATGATGGAAGATTCCGAATGTTCATCTTGATCAATCCACTGGACTCATACTCTCGCCGACACTTTCTCGATCTAGACCATCTTTGGGGTGTCCGCCGTCACCGCTATCCTTTATCTCTTTACTGACACCACTTGCACCATCGACATCATCTTGTTGCTTCAACCTTTTTTCCCGAATCCTTTCTTTCAACTTCACCTTTAGTTTCTCTTTGAGTTTCTCTTTTACTCGTTGTTTCAACTTGTCGAGCCTTATATGTGGACTGTCGCCCGTGTTCCATGATTCGTTTCCCTGTTCATCAATGTGGAGCCTAGGGGTGCCTAGTTGTTCAATGACAAATGACGCACTGACCGATCCATACAATGCAGCTTCGAAAACGTCAAAATTTGATTTTAGTAAACCAGCCATGAGACCTCCACAAAAGGAATTTCCGGCCCCGGTGACATCGACCACGTGTGGATGTCGGCCCCCATCTTTGGGTGTTGTCCAATAAGCTGGTATTATTTCCTTTTTCTCTCTTGTGCCCACGATACAACCTTTATGGGAGGCACGAATGATCACACACCCATTTCCATGTCGCCCAATCTGATAGGCCAAAAACTTGTCGACCATGAACATCAGCATCTCATCAGTCAGAAATCTTTCGTCTTCCTCGTCATCCGTGACCAACCCTAGTAAGGCTGCGGCTTCCTCGTGATTTGGTGACACAACATCCACCATCCTCATTGCCTCTATGCAAGATTGCAGGCTTTCTTCTGCAGGTATAGGTTCCCATACGAAAACCGGTGGGGATGAATTTTTGTCGCGTAATCGTAATATTTCTGTGACATAATGTATGGCTCGATTCGCAGAACAGATAAAGTGAAATATCCTTGCGCTCAAGTATGAACTTGGCAAATCGGTTGGCATGGTGCCTATAGAGGGAGTTTGATAGATGAAGTGACGTCGATCCCTCGTCTTAAAAGTGTTTAATCCACGAATTGATGGTAAGTTGGAATGCCATATTTGAGTTAAAGAAATGTTGAGAGCCAACAGGCTTTGTAAAATGTGTATCGGAAAATCGTAACCGGCGTGAAATGTGTATCCGATTCTCTGAGACTCTTGGGGTGAAAACCAGAGCCTCATCCCTTGCGTGCAAGCGGTTGTTAAACAAAGATGCGGGATTTATCTTTTGCATATTTCGTTAGGCAGAGCACAAAAAATTGACAAGAAAGTTGAAATCGATACCGTAGGTTGCATAGACGCCACCACCACCTAAAACATCCCTTTGCGCAGTCCCGTCTAATTTAATTTGGTAAATAATTAACCAAGAGTTACCTTGAAAATCGATGCCATTTTTTTGTTACCTGGAAATCTTATTTCGTCAATTATGCATTGACTTAAGGAGCACAGTAAAGGGTCACCCATCAATAAAGCTTTTTAAGAGTCAAAGGCTTCTGGAAATTGTCAACTTGTGGAGAGAGTTAAAGTTTGTACATGATGAGTATTAAGTCGATCTTTATACTTTCTCGAGGTGATCATTTAGGGTAATAGAATACGCACACTCAATTTTTAATAAACACCATGTGACCAGCACACATACATTATGCGTGTAGAGTAGTCGATAATTTTATTTATTCTTTTGAACACTTTATCACGAATTAAGTAAGGTCAACGCTCTAGACAATTCGGAATTATGTTCATCGTTTTTTTTTTTTTTTTCCAATGGACATAATTGCAAGTCGAGGAAAGAGGCAGGTCTCGATCACTGTCGGGACTTAAGATCATCACCTCAGGGCACGTTTCTCGTGGATTCTGATATTGCACTGGTTATATGGTTAGAATCGGAGTGTATGGTATATCCGATTCCTTGAAATAGATATCGTCAATCAGAGATCGGATGTGCAAAATGAATGTTTCTTCCGATTGCGTGTTACGTGTCACTGATCAAAAATTGAGCAAGTGTTGGTTAAATTGATCGTACGTGCGGCAGGACATGTATTTTTGTTCCACTTCATTCTATCGGTCCGTTAAGTCCGGATTTCGCCCATCTATCTTCGAAGTTTACGACGGGAACAAATAAATAAAGAAAACCCGAGAAGTCTTTCGAAAACGATTATAATTCTTTGAAAAAAAATCTCTTTCTTATATTGTCATTAGGCAATACTTTGTGAATTCCAAAGGCGAATGCGTTGGAAGGTTGAAATAGAGTGTAACGCGCCAATTCGGCATAAATCAAATGTACATGATAAATAATCTTGGTTTCCTTAAACATATTGGTATCACTCGAATTCCTTTGGGATTTCTCTCTTCTCGCGATACGTATGCCCGGATGTGAACCTGATATTTACAAGGCTTGGCCTTGAGTGATCTGTTTTGACCTATTTTGTGGAATACAGTATATTCAGTTTATTTTCATTGATCATTAAAATGTTGATATGCGTTGTCTGCTATAAACAGTACACATTTTTTATTATTCGATGTGTTTTAACCTCAAAATTATGACTGTTTTTAAATGCAAGAACCGTTCTGATCTAAAGCATCGAAAAATGTTCTTTCAGCAAAACATAACGTTATCAATATACATCACCCAGAAAGAACAAAGCACTTTTGAAAAGACCAAATATCTAGTGTTAGCGATGATAACTTGATATATATGATCTTTATCGTAATAACATGTGTAGCTAAAATTCAACGCCTATTAGTGACTTGATGGTTTAACTGTGCTACCGTTAGGCACACATTTCAAATAATAACCAGGATTTGACCAATAACATGTTATATTATTAGGGTTGAGAGAGTTCACATCTAACAGGTAGATAACAACATGGGGTTAGAATTATATTCTTGAAATTTGAAAGTGATCTTAACACGAGACTCACCGCATTCCATAAACTCTCTGGGTTTGGAAAACAACGAGACCTTGGGTGGCTTAACTATCACCTTTTTATTGACGGCACCTAGATGAACTAGTTCATTTAGTACGTCCTCGATCTCGCAACGTGACATGACAAGGGAAAGTCTGCGGTGAATGTTGGACTATTTTTTTGACAGAAGAAAAATGTAAATAAAAACACATTACACAAAATATCAGTTACTTTCAATATACCTGATAGATTCCGGGTTTCTGAACAATGGTTCCAAGCACGACTTCAAGGCACCCACGAAA